GGAAGAAAAAACAAAAAAGGTGAAAAGGAGGAAAAAAAACAAAGAAAAACCACTGGGGAAAAAAAAAAAAAAAAAAAAAAAGGGGGTTGAATTTTGTCTAACACACTATCTATAGCAGAAGATGGCAGCAATGCACCAATAAAAATGCAAAACAAAACATGCAACAAAAACTGCTGGATGGAGCTGTAAACATATTGATTCTGCATTTTAGCACCAAAACTAAGGAAGAGAATTAGGGTCAATGGAAAACAATAAAAAAATAAAACAGTTCTGACATTAAATGCAGAATTCTGAGAAAAAAAGAAGACTTTTTTCTGACTTTTTTCTCAGAAAAAATTCTGAGAATAAAAGTCTCAGAATTCTGAGACTAAATAAATCTTTTATTCTCAGAATTCTGAGATTAATGTCAGAATGATTATTTTTGAGATTAAAGTCAGAATTCTGACTTTTTTCTCAGAATTCTGAGAAAAAAGTCAGAATTTTTTACTTTTTTTTCCCCCAGTGGTCCTAATCCTCTTCCGTACCAAAACATGAAATAGTCTGCAAGGTGTGCTTTTAGACAAACAAGGGAAAACAACGTGAAACACACCCAAACACACGTGATTAAAAATAATAAGCAAAAACAACTCAGACACTTGGTGGAAATATGGTCATTTATGATCAGCGATGGGGCAAAAGTAACAACCGATTGTCTTCAATTATCAAGCAGTTTAAACGTGAACATTTAGATCTGAAGTCCTGTTAAAAACATGTCCAAGTGGGCAAGTTTGGATACGTTCATGAAACAAAATAAATAAATAAATAGATAGATAAACCCTCATTTCAGGGAATCAATATGTCAGAAAGTCACCAGAATGTAGTGATTTTGCATTCACCGACAGTAATCACAGCATGAGGGTCCCGCTTGCTTAATCTCAGAGCTGTCATCTTTATCATATTCTATAATCTTATACTTACAGTCATATATAGTTATTACAAACCCCCAGGGATTACTTGTTAAAACAAATTCTGGGAAAATGTCCTTGTTCTTCACTTTGATTAAAAATTTTAACTCAGCTTTTGTCATTTGGTAAAAAACAACAACAAAAAACAACAACAACAATAAAAAAAACTGTATGAAATCTTGCATAATTCCCTTCAATCCATAACTCAAAAAAAAAGCAAAACCAATTTTATC